TCCAAAAAAGCCGGATGGGGACCCATTCACCAGTACAAAGAATCTAACAGAAGAAATACGAGTCTCGATCCACTTCCTCCATCTCTCCCCAAAACCCATCCTCCCCAGCATATATAACAGGAAATTCCAACTAACATGATCACCTCCCCCCTAACCACCTCCCAACTCTCAAGTATAAATCTCATAGAGAACCCATCAGGACCTAGGGCTTTATCCCCATTGCAGTTCTTCAATGCCTTCAACACTTCCTCTTCAGAAAAAGACCTTTCCAACCCATCTCTATCCACCACAGAAATTGAATCGAACTGAAGACCCCAAGTAAAGGATGCCAACTTGACGTTTCTGTGAACCAACTTCTGATAAAAAGAGACGATCTCCCTACAAACCTCTTCCTCGTTGGGAAAAAGCTCCCCATCCACCACAATCCTCTCTACATGATTACACCTTCTATGGGCATTTGCAAGCCGATGAAAGAATTTCATGTTTCTATCCCCCTTGTTGAGCCATAAGGCTCTAGATTTCTATCTCCATTAAATCTCCTCCAAAATAGCAATCTCAGCAATCTTCGCCTGGCACTCAAGCCTCTTCCTCTTCAAAGCCTTGGCAATGCCACCTATCCCCTCCATACTATCAATGTCAGCAATCTCATAAAACGCTCAATTCTTCCTCCATTCCATATTTCATGTTTTGATGCCTTCTTTCAACATCCGAAGTTCTCTTGCAAGGGAATAGCTAAGAGATCCATCCACCACATAACTTCCCCACCAAGAACGGACCCTTTTATAAAGCCCTTAGATCTAAGTCACATATTCTCAAATATAAAAGGAGAACTCCTTTTCTGCAACCAACCACAATCCAAAACCAAAGGAATGTGAGCTGAAGTTAGACGAGCCAAAGCCGAATGAACCACATCCGGGAATTTCTCCTCCCAATCCCCAACGAGAGAGAGAGAATCTTTACCGTTGGACCATGTAAAAGATGCTCCCTCCAAAGGTAAATCAATCAATTCACAATCATCAGTCAACATAGAGAATTAATCCACAGCCAAAGGCCATCTACCTCCCGTGCACCGCTAGTTTAGTTTCTTGCAAACCCGCCACATGAGCACCCCACTTCCAAACTGCCAACTTCACCACCTTCCTCTTGTCTGGATCATTCAGACCACGGACATTCCATGAAATTATGCGGAACTTTATGAGGAAACAAACAAGTTTCCTTCCCTCTCCTCCCTCCTCTACCCCTCTCCTTCAACCACACAGTTTTCCTTTCGTAATTGACATACAAAATGAGAATCCTAACCTTCCTCTCCCCTTTTTCCGATGGAGTCCTACCCTTACCCCTCATTCTTCTGGTTATCATCAATCTCATGAAACATGCACACAGCCTTATACTTATCACCTCCGGAATTCACCCTATTAATAACTATCTACTCTAAAAGCTTAAGCTGTTAGAAAAGGTGTAACTTTAATATTAAATCCTTCAACACTTTCCCTCACGTGTGGCCTTCTTTTTGGTCCAATGGATGTTTCAATTTTAATATTCAAGGTGACGTTGAGGTTTGAACACAGGACCTACCTGCTCTGATTTAAAAGTTCATGTTGTTAAAGGGGGTGTAAATTTAATATTTAAATCATTCAACACACCCCAACAATATTGCCTACAAAACCAACATTCTCCCTCACCCACTCCTCTCTACTTGCTTCAAAAAATCCCTCAACCCTTCCCCTAAGATCATCACCTTTGACCTCTCTCCCTTCGAGCCCACCATAGCCAAAACCAAACCATCCTCCGAAAACTCACTCCTTCCCCAAGGGACTATCCCCAATTCCCCACCTCTCGAAGTATCCAACAACCCTTCCCAATCATCCACCACGGAGACTATCAAAAGACTGTCTCATCCGTCCCCTCCATCATAAAACAATTCAGCCCCTTCATAGCTTTGTGAAGCCTAAGCTCCTTAACCAGAACAGTAGCAGATTCATCACTCAGACGGAAGTGGACGTCACTGCCGACGTCAATTGTGACTCCCTCAAATCCCTCCCTGCTGTCAGCCAATTCCCCTACGCCCCTTTCAATCGCCCCATTACATCCAGACCGAGCAAAACCCTCCATTTTCTTTTCACCCAAACCATCCTCTGCATCTGCCTCAAACACAGGTGATAGTTTTTGAGAAACCAGTAACATACCATCCTTCTCCAACCCCACAACACTCCTCAACACCCCACAAGGAGTAGAAGAAGAAGAAAAAGTAGAAGGAGAGCTCTGAGGGTTTAGATAGGAGGAAACATTGTTAAAATTTGGATGCAGAAATAAGAAATGCAAATAGGAAAAGGGAAGAGAAAAAGATGGAGAACACAAACATATACATGGTTCGGCACTAAGGCCTACATCTATGAACAAAGAGCCATTAAGGGCTACATTTTTATTATTCAGATCTGTATATTGCTTGAGTACAAGGAGCCTATATATAGGCATGGTAAATATAAGAATATATGTAAAGTGTACAATAGTCAAAAGAGGCACCATGATTGGTGGAGGATTATTTTGCTCCACCGTTATATAGAAATATTTATAATTGGAAAGAAATTAACTGGATCACCATGATTGGTGGAGGATTTTGCTCCACAATTATATAGAAATAATTATATATTTCAACACTCCCCATCAAGTTGGAGCATGAATATCATGAATGCCCAACTTTCTAAAGAAACGCCTTGAAATATGATGAAAAGGTGTCCGGAACAAAGCCGGAACAATGCCGGGAAAGGCCAGAACTAAGCCGGGAAATGGCCGGAACTACGCTAGGAAAAGCCGACGTCGGAACTACAACAGGAAATGGCTAGAACAACGCCGAAACAACGCCCGGAAATGGCCAGAACTACGCTGGGAAATCGCCAGAACAACGCTGGGAAATAGCCTGAACAACGCCAAGAAAAGTCGGAACTACGCCAGGAAAGGAATGTGAAGACATAGAGAATATGCTCCGTGATAATAATTCCAATACTCCTCCTCAAATTCTAGATGGGATTACAAGAACAACTTGGCTCTGATACCATGTTAAAATTTGGATGCGGAAATAAGAAATGCAAATAGGAAAAGGGAAAAGAGAAAGATGGAGAACACAAGTATATACATGGTTCGGCACTAAGGCCTACATACATGGACAAAGAGCCACTAAAAGCTACATTTTTATTAATCAGATCTGTATATTGCTCAAGTACAAGGAGCCTATATATAGGCATGGTAAATATAAGAATATATGGGAAGTGTACAATAGTCAAATGAGGCACCTGAAGGATTTTGCTCCACCGTTATATAGAAATATTTATAATTGAAAGGAAATTGACCGGATCACCATGATTGGTGGAGGATTTTGCTCCACAATTATACAAAAATATTTATATATTTCAACAAAACTCTTGTGTCGTCTGATCATTAGAAACACATTTTTGGTTATCTTTTCTCGACCATCGCTTTCTAGAAACACTTTTGAGTTCTCAGAGATCTCTGCAACTGAGCCTTGGAAAGTGAAGAGCAATCATCCAAAATCTCACCTTTTGAGTCGAATTGCAGAGACCCAAATCGGTTGTTACAAGACATTGTTTTGAAGACGGTCATGTTTATGAGGAGAAGCAAGAGACTCAAACCCAAACTCCTGTATCTTACATGATGTATGAGCTCTTCGAGACCTCCCAGAAATGTGTTTTTGAAGATTCAAGCTTAGCCACACCCAGTTATCCTGTCCTTCTGAGTCCAGTGTCTACTTGGATGATTATTCTCTATGAAATCAAAGCGATTCTTCTGATGCTCAGGACCCATTTGGGCTTGAGTTGCTGTTGAGGATGTGCACTTTGCAACCAAAGTTACTCTTTGCTGGGATTTTTAGCTTGAGAAAGATAAGTTGTGGGTTCAATGAATCCATGGTAGCCTGGTAGGTATCTGAAACAGGTAAATTTTTGGTCTGTTTTACCTAAGCAGAGTGATTCTTTTGTTTGAAAACAGATTTTGGGGGTTAGGGACTTTGTGCTGCCTAATATTTCATACAAGCTTCGCAATGGCTCTATGTTCAACTTGCTGTTGGACCCTTGGTGTGATGACAGTTCCTTGATTCAAAGGTTTGGTGCCATAGCTTTTAGAAGGATTGACAAAATGGTTGTTGTTTCTTCTGTAATCCTAAATGGTAGATGGGCATTCCTAATGCGTTTCCTGTTGCTGCTAAAGAATACATTGAAAATCTGCATATTAGACAGTCTGCAGATGAGATTGTTTGAAAACATGGATATTTTTCTCTGAATTCAATTTGGAAAGTGTCAAGATATAAAGGACAAAAGGTGAGATGGGCTTCTCTTTGCGGGCAATCCTGCAGGCCTAGAATTGCTGTGCTTGTTGTTATCATTCTGCATAATAAGAATCTCTCCTTTCCCAATCTAAGAAGGAGATATTTGAGTATGCCTGCAATCTTTCATAATTGTGTGGCTGATGAGGATAACAATGATCATTTGTTCTGTTCCCGTTCCTTTGTCATGGCTGTTTGGAGGGTGTTGTTTGATATGTTAGGGATTCCTTTTCAGAAGTTTCAGGTTATCACTGTGTTGTAGAGTGGTTCCTGCAGAGTACACATGGAAAGAGTTTCAGAACAAAAGTGTTTAGCTCTTTGTTCTCTTATGCTATTTGGAGAATTTGGTTGCAGAGAAATTATGCTCTACGTAACGGTACACTCTTCAGCCTGTGTCCACTGCCAATGCTTTTGTATGTGATGTTCTTCTTGCCTCGAATCTGTCTCTTGCAGATTTGCTAGTTGTTTTCCATGTTTGATGTTAGTCCCTACTTGTGTTGTTGCCTTTTTGGGTTTTAGTGGAAATGGGCCTTCTCCCTTTCAGTTTTGTACCAAGGGGGTATGCCTTCTTTTATCCATGTAATTTATTTTATATTTTATAAAATCATCCTATTCAGAAAACAAAAAAAAAAAAAGTGCTATTAAGTTTGAGTCCAATTATTACCTTGATTGATAACTTCAAAGATGTTACACGATCATCAGCATTCCAAGCGCAAATAATTTCATCTTTGAGTGCACGAAACCGTGAGACAAGCTCCTGCTGACTAATTACTTTGACACCCTCTTCCGCAAATTTATGTGGATCATCCAGCTCCTCTAGGTGTGTACTCAATTGTGATTTCTCATGTACTGCAAATGGCCAACATTATAGAACATGACAAGAGGATAATTACTAACCAAAATAAGACAACTAATGATTACCAATTTTTTTTGTAAAATAAAAATAATAATAATAATAATAAAATAAAAAGGAACAAAGAATACCATACCCTTGCCACTTTTCATGAGTACGTCGGAGACCTGCAAAAACATCCAAAAATTAAAACTGGAAAATAAATGCTTCAAAGAACCGGAAAATCTTGTAATCTAATATTTATTTCTATATCTAATGTGATGATCAAGGTTTCCAGAAACTTGTTTGTGTCATTCTATGGCAAATATGGAGAGAGAGAAACCCCAGACTCCTTGAAGACAAGAGAAGAGAAGCTGTTCAAGTTGCTGTGGAAGCTTGGTTTGAGTGCATTCAGTTCCTTGGTGGATGACTTTGTTAGTCTCTTTGATTGTTTTCAAGACTGGTTAGTGCCTCATGCTACTTCCAGTATGACTTGCTCTGCTGCTTTGTTGTGGGGTTTTCCCTTTTTGGTATTAGATCTCATTGTATATTTTGTATTTTTAATAATAAAATAACATTCAGGAAAAAAAATTTATTTATTTCTATAGAAGGCGGTGCGCCTTGGGCTTTTAACAACACTAAGAAGGCCGTTAAAAAGCCCCTATCCAGCGTTGATTCTGCTAATTCAGGATGCTGCAAGGTGTGTACTGGGAACATGCTTAAACTCCAACTTCAATTGCATGAAGTTATTGATCTGTGTTGGAAATCTTATCTATAAGTTGACTCAACGATTATGGCAGATTTATTGGGTCTTCAATATAGGCTAATTTTTAGGGATTTTATTTTTATTCTGATTTGATTTGATTTGATTTTATTCTCTTTTCCATATTTGTAATTTTCCGCTTGTATATAATGATAGTCAAGCTCTCAAATTGAGTACGCCAATTTTACCAAGTTACTTTTTGGTATCAGAGCCTCAAACCTACGCCTCCCCCATCTCTCTCTCTTTCACCGCCTCTTTTAATATCTCTCTCTATCTCGTTACAACCCCTTCCCTATTTTTTTTTCACAGACCTTCTCTCTTTTTCTGGTCGCTGTTGCGACAGTCCTAGGGGGAGTCAATCTCCTCTAGGTTCAACCCCCTGTAGGGGTATTCCCTTAGTCTTTTTCATGCACTAAGGGTCAGAAGACGTGTTTGTAATTTTTTGGGGCTGCCGGGATATTCGGCAGCATTTTCGGATCAGACCGCCATGTCTCCGGCTTCTTGGTTTGATCAAAATCAGGTTTATTCCTCCTTTATTTGAAATTATTGGTAATCTGTTGAATTGATCTATTTAATATTATGGCTGAATCAAGTAATAATAAAGAAGCTCTTTTTTCGGCGCAACACACACCGGCTCAACGAGTTACTAGTGTGTTGTTGAATGGCCGTAATTTTGCATCCTGGGCTCGTTCCCTCTGCCTCTATGTTGGTGGAAATGGCAAATCAGGGTGGATTTTGGGTACTGAAAAGAGGCCAGATATTAAAGATCCTAAATATGCTCAGTGGGATACGGACAATTGCACCACTTTAGGATGGATGTTTAATTCTATGGAGGAACGCATTTATAATATATTCATGTTTTATGACTCTGCTAGTGACTTGTGGACTGCTTGGAATCAAATGTATGCTCATTCTAGGAATGATGCTCGTATTTTTGAATTATATCAAGATATTGCTAAGGCCTCGCAGGAAGGCCTGAATTTGTCTGTAACTGATTATTTTGGGTATTTGAGATCTCGTTGGGAGGAACTAGCTCAATATGAGCCTCTCAGTGAATTTCCTTCTGAGGCAGCCTCTCTTCTTGTCAAACGTCTTGATCATCAGCATACCTATCAGTTTTTTATGGGATTACGCCCAAAATTTGAACCACTAAAGTCTCAAATCTTGAATGCATCACCAATGCCATCCCTGTTGGAAGCCTTTGCTACTGTTGATGGTGAAGCACGCAGGCACCGTTTAATTCAGCCCTCAATTGTTCCTGTACCAATGTCTGAGCTTGCTGGGGATAGTATGGCTTTTGCAGCCAACTTTGGATCACGAGCTTCTGGAGATCAGATTATTTGTCACCATTGTGGAGGGGTTGGACATGTTAGGGCTCGTTGCTTCAAACTTCATCCTGAATTGAAGCAAAAATTTTCTAGGAACCGTTTATCTGGAACTGGTTCTTCTCGTACTGCAGCTGTTGCAGAAACTCCTATTACTACTAGTGGATCTACTGTATTTCTTGGACTGAGCCAGTTCAGTCTCAGATTGGGCAAATCCAGGACCAGCTTGGCTCCCTTGCTTCTAGAGTTAGTGCTCCTTCAACTACTCCCACTGCAACTATTGCTACAGGTACTCCTACTGCATTTCATGTTAAGGCCAAGCAGCCCACTTGGGTTCTGGATTCTGGGACCAATGATCACATGACTGGTGAGTTATCAGTTTTTTCTTCTAATGTCATACCTGTTACCCAATCTGTGTATCTTGCGGATGGCTCTACATCTTACATTCACAGTAAGGGTGATGTTTGTCTGTCTCCTGATATTACTCTTTCATCTGTCCTTCATGTACCTAAATTTGCCTTTAACCTTTTATCTGTTAGCCGGCTTGCAAAAAACCTCCAATGTGCAGTTATATTCTTACCAGATTACTGTTTGTTGCAGGACCTTTGTTCGAAGAGGATTTTTGGCAGGGGTTATGAGCGTGATGGGCTTTACTACTTTGGGGAACCACCAAGAACAAGTCTTCAAGCTTCTATCCTACCTACTTCTAGTGTTTATGATGTTTCTTTTCGCACTTTTAGTTTGTGGCATGCACGTTTGGGGCATGTAAACTTTCAATATCTATGTCTATTGTTTCCTTCGTTAAATAAAGCATGTAAGGACCATAAGTTTCTATGTGTAGTTTGTGAGCTTTCTAAACATACTAGAACTAGCTATATTTCTCATATGAGTCGTGCTCCTAGTATGTTTGATCTTATTCATTCTGATGTCTGGGGCCCTTCCCCAGCTACTGCTTTCTCTGGACATCGATATTATGTGACATTTATTGATGATTATTCTTGTTGTACTTGGGTTTATTTATTGAAAAAGAAATCTGATGTGTTTCTTTTATTTACCCAGTTTCTTCAAATGATCAAAACCCAGTATAACACTGTTGTCCATAATATTCGTTCTGACAATGGACGAGAATATGTTTCGAATGAGTTCCGGTCTGAACTTAATAAAAAGGGGATTTTACATCAACTCACTTGCCCCTATACTCCTGAGCAAAATGGCGTGGCTGAACACAAAAACCGTCATCTTATGTCTGTGGTCCGATGTCTTCTGAGTGGTATGCATGTGCCTAAATTCTATTGGCACATGGCTGTTCTTATAGCTGCTTTTCTGATTAATCGTACTCCCAGTCGAGTTTTGGGTGGTAAGGCACCACTTCAGATTCTCCAGCCTAATTATACATTGCTTCACCTTCTGCCTCGTGTTTTTGGCTGTACTTGTTTTGTTCATAACCGTAGTCCTTCTCGTCATAAACTTGATGATAAATCTATTAGGTGTATTTTCTTGGGGTATTCTGCTATGTCAAAGGGCTATCGTTGTTATGATCCTGTGACCAAACATATGTATCATTCTCTTGATGTGACATTTCATGAAACTGTTCCTTTTTATAGTACTAATTCAGTGGTACAGGATTCTCTCTCTTGTGATCTGGAGAATGAGATTTCTCCTATTGCCCGTCCTGTTCCTCTCTTTGAAAATCACACTGTCCTAGAATCTCCTTCTCCATCCATGCAGGGTTCCCCTCCACCTTTGCAGGTCTACTCTCGTCGCCATCGCACTCAACCTCCCCTGCCAGAATCATCTTCAAAACCAGGTCCAGGTAACTCTCCTTCTCCTATTGCTCCTACAATTCCTGAGCGTACCTCCCGTTATCCTACCCATGATCGTCATCCTCCTAATTGGTATGGTTTTTCTAGTAGCACTAACCACCCTATTTCCCAGTATGTCTCCTATGATAGTCTTTCAGGTGCATATAAATCCTTCCTGGGCAAGATTGGGACCGTTTCTATTCCTCGATCTGTCTCAGAGGCCCTCCAGGATCCCAATTGGGTGTCTGCCATGACAACAGAAATGGATGCTTTACACCATAATAATACATGGGAACTTGTTGCTTTAACTTCTGGGGAGAAAACGGTTGGCTGCAAATGGGTCTTTAATGTGAAGTACTTAGCCGATGGTTCTATTGATCGGTATAAGGCTCGGTTGGTGGCAAAAGGCTTTACTCAAATTCCGGGCAAAGACTTTAGTGCTACCTTTGCTCCTGTGGCTAAGTTGACGTCTGTGCGACTGCTTGTCTCCTTGTCTGCTGCCCATTCTTGGCCTCTGCATTAGTTAGATGTCAAGAATGCATTTCTTAATGGAGACTTACTTGAGACTATATATATAGATCCACCCCCTGGATTTCGGGCTGAGGGGGAGTATGCTGGGAAAGTCTGTAGGCTACGAAAGTCTCTTTATGGTCTGAAGCAATCTCCTAGAGCTTGGTTTAGTCGTTTCAGCGATGTTGTTTTATCCATGGGCTTTGTGCGCTACCACTCAGACCATACTTGTTTTATTCAACGTAGCTCTGATGGTCGTTGCATTATGTTATTGGTATATGTGGATGATATCATTATCACAGGTGATGATGCTTCAGGGATTGCTCAGGCAAAACTTCATCTTCAAAAGTCCTTTGATGTGAAGGACTTAGGTCCTCTTCGATATTTTCTTGGAATTGAGGTTGCTAGATCTTGTCGTGGAATTTCTTTATATCAAAGGAAATATGTTTTGGATCTTCTTCAAGATACTGGCATGCTTGGGAGTTGACCCGCTTCCACTCCTATGGACCCCAATCTTAAACTCTCTGTTGAGTCAGGGGAATTACTTCCAGATCCATCCGTGTATCAACGTTTACTAGGTCGTCTTATCTACTTAACTAATACAAGGCCCGATTTGACATTTGTTGTTAGTGTGATTAGTCAATTCATGCATGCCCCTCGCTCAGCTCATATGGATGCAGTCTACCATATTTTGAGGTACCTTAAGTCGTGCCCTGGTCTTGGTCTGTTTTATGCCTCAGGAAATCAGTCTGGACTCTCATGCTTTACTGATGCAGACTATGCTGGAT